TGATATTTTTAGGTCAAACCGTTCTTGTCTGTCAGTCATATAATGGTCTATGGTCACCCCCTCAAAGAGCATGCACAGAGAAGTCCAAATTAAACATGATTTAATGACTCGTGAATGTAAGTACACATTGATGGCCTAAGACACGAAACGAGCGGTTTGTGTGAGAAAACGAACAGTATTTATATCGTTTTTACCTCTTGTAACCACAGTCACGTCCAAGTGATTTGAGGGCGCAGGCGCTTTGTGGCTGTGGTTACAAGAGGTAAAAACGATATAAACACTGTTCGTTTTCTCACACAAACCGCTCGTTTCGTGTCTTAGGCCATCAATGTGTTCTTACATTTACGAGTCATTAAATCATGTTTAATCTGGACTTCTCTGCGCATGCTCTTTGAGGTGGTGACCATAGACCTCCATTATATGACTGACAGACAAGAACGGTTTGACCAAAAAATATCAAAATTGAAACTACTGCGGAAACAAAGACACCTACATCTTGGATACCCTTGAGGTAAGCTAAAACATACCAAAAATTAATTTCAAAGTGAACTATCCCTTTAAAGGGGATAGTTCACCCAAAAATTACATTTTGCCTTCCTATAGACCTTATGTAGCCCCGCCCCTTTTCAGCGTTGCGCTCGTTGTCTTCCAGTCTGTATTTTCACAGCGATCTTGCATAGGTAAGAATAACTGCTCGTCAAAATAATCCCCGGTCGAGATTTGTTAAGACATCTGCTTTACAATGCTTATGATAAACCTTACAATACTCATGATAACTTTTGTTAACTCTACAATAAGTGAATCCACTTCACCAGCTAATTACTCCTCGTCAGCGATGCCATAGAAATATACAGAGCGACCGCAAAAACGGAAGTTCAAAGACAATATTTTAAAGATGACGGCGCCCACGTTTCTCTGCATAAGGTCTATACTTAGTCACCCTTAAGTTGTTCCAAACCGGTATGAATTTCTTTCTTCTATTGAACACAAAAGAAATTATTTTGAAGAATGTTGGTAATCAGACAGTTGACGGCACCCATCGACTTCGATACTAGGAAAAAAATACAATGGATGTCAATGGTTGCCGTCAACTCTGGTTGGGATGTTAATTGATGCTTTAATATTCATCAAGTCTGCATGTGTAAACCTAACAACTTGCATTCACATCATAACAAGCCTATGTTAAATTGATTTTGTTTTAGGTTTGGAATATTGCATCAAATAAGCTTTCCTTTCTAAACTCCTATAAGATGAAGATGTCGGTCATATTGGGAGTCGGTCATATGCTCCTTGGAGTGACCCTGAGTTTGGCAAACTTTGTGTGAGTATTTGATTACCTCCTATAAACTAAGGCAAAATTACATTTTTAAATCAATTAGATTGTCAAAATTTAAATGTTTCATAAGAACATAGATTTTATGTGTCACTTTGTTTATTTTGTCTAATGAGGAAAAACGAAAAGATAGTTACTTGTCTATAAATCTAAGTAGGTATTATTAAAAAGGTAGTCGTACAGTATTTGATAGTTTTTAAAGGTACTGTCTTCAAGTTCCAGATTAATATGAGTTCATAGTCCGAAATCTTTCTTTTCCTCATTTCCTTTTAACAGACATTTGGGGAAATTCCAGGACATTTCACTTCAGTTTGTTCCACAGCTGATCTTCATGCTCTCTCTCTTCGGATACCTGATCTTCCTCATCCTCTACAAATGGTCCATCACCCTGCGCTCTGAAATGGCTCCCAGCATCCTGCTGCTCTTCATCAACATGATGATGTTTGATTACCAGCCGGAACACAAGTTTCTTTACAGAGGACAGGTTTGGATTCATTGTTCCTCTAAAAGCAGTTCTTTACTCCGGGCTTCACATAGCCAAAGCACTCATGACCGATTATGATTGATGCTGTAATCCTCGACAGAAAGCTGTTCAGATCTTCTTGGTTGTGATGGCTGTGCTCATGGTTCCTGTGCTGCTCTTGGCCAAACCCCTCCTCATCTACAGGACCCGAATGAAAGCCAGACACCAGGTGGGTGAGCAGAACAGAGCAACCCTGTCCCAAGATCAGTTAATGCTTTTTTCAACCAGGGTTATTATAGTAAAAACTAAGACTAAAACCTTTAAAGCTTTAGTTGTCAAGGCTTAAAGGGATACTCCACTTTTTTTTGGAAATAGGCTCATTTTACCACTCCCCCAGAGTTAAACAGTTGAGTTTCACCGTTTTCAAATGCATTCAGCCGATTTTCTGATATTTAGAAGAATATCAGTAACCAGACAGTTTCTGGACTCATTGACTTCCATAGTAGGAAAAAAAATATACTATGGAAGTCAATGAGACCAGAAACTGTCTGGTTACTGACATTCTTCTACATATCAGAAAAAAGCGGAGTATCCCTTTAATGTTGAAAAATAACGTCTCGGTTACGTATGTAACCCTCGTTCCCTGAGTAGGGAACGGAGACGTTACGTCAGAAGTGACGGAGATTGGGGGATTTCGCATAGAAAGCCAATCCTTTCCTCTTCGTCATTGGTGTTCTTCTCGCGGAGAAGACCCCCGGAGATGTTCGATCAGTGTCGTGCTTTCCTTCCTGCAAGAAGGGTTGGAGCGCAGGCTGTCGCCCTCCACCCTTAAGGTTTACGTCGCGGCCATTGCCGCTTCTCATGAAGCAGTGGAAGGTAAGTCCTTCTCCGCGAGGGTGGAGGGCGACAGCCTGCGCTCCAACCCTTTTTGCAGGAAGGAAAGCACGACACTGATCGAACATCTCCGGGGGTCTTCTCCGCGAGAAGAACACCAATGACGAAGAGGAAAGGATTGGCTTTCTATGCGAAATCCCCCAATCTCCGTCACTTCTGACGTAACGTCTCCGTTCCCTACTCAGGGAACGAGGGTTACATACGTAACCGAGACGTTATTTTTCAACATTAAAGGGATACTCCGCTTTTTTCTGATATGTAGAAGAATGTCAGTAACCAGACAGTTTCTGGTCTCATTGACTTCCATAGTATATTTTTTTTCCTACTATGGAAGTCAATGAGTCCAGAAACTGTCTGGTTACTGATATTCTTCTAAATATCAGAAAATCGGCTGAATGCATTTGAAAACGGTGAAACTCAACTGTTTAACTCTGGGGGAGTGGTAAAATGAGCCTATTTCCAAAAAAAAGTGGAGTATCCCTTTAAGCCTTGACAACTAAAGCTTTAAAGGTTTTAGTCTTAGTTTTTACTATAATAACCCTGGTTGAAAAAAGCATTAACTGATCAGGTCGTGCGTGAGGGACCGTCTCGATTGCACCCTTCGCCAGCAGGGTCGCAACCTCCGCTCGCAAAACCCGGGGCATAGCCACCGATCATCGTGGAGCGAATTCCCCTGAAGCAGGGAGGAGACCGTGCGAACTGCATCGCATAGCCGAATCTGATCGTTCTGATGACCCAGCAGGATCCCCCGGGAAGCTCTAGCCAGGCTTCCAGGAAGTGAACCAACGGGGTCATTCGAACACAGACGTCCCCCCGGAGGGGCAGCGGGGCGGGTCGACTGGCACGCGTGCAGGGGCTACCCCGCTCGGATGCGTCGAAGCCCGCTCCCCGACAGAAGAGACCAGGGAAGGCGGAGCGTTCCACGGGGGTCTGTTCTGCCGGGGGTCCGGCGATAGAGGGGGAAGGGATTGGCGTAGCCCGTGGACGACACTCGCACCCTTCCGCGCCCTCAGAGACAGAGAGGAATGTGTGGGCTGACGCACTGGAACGTCGAGCGCACTCATTCCCGTCTGTGGGCTCAGTGATGATGTCAAGTCTTTTTTAACCAACTCAGGGCGCTGCCCACCCGTGGGCGAGCAGCGAGAGCTGAAAACGAAAGATTTCCCCCCGGCCCTCCACCGGGGGCAGGAGGGGGCCTGCTCCCGCCTCCTGGGGAAAAACTCAACTCCATCACTGAGCAGCCCGTATCAGGATCATCGCTTACCTGGCGTTTAGCGGGGTGTGCGGCCTGAGGGGGCTGTGACGCCTGCCGGCGGCCTCCTCCACGCCGTGGCCCAGATGAAGGCTGCTGCTGGGGCGGGGCGGGAGGCAGGGGAGCCGCGGGGGGGCGTCCTCGGCGGCGAGCAGCGGGAGGCATCTGTGCCGACGACTGGGTGGAGGCAGCAGCTGGTCGTCGGGGCAGAACATGTTTGATTGCCTCCGTCTGCTCCTGGGCAGTGGAGACTGCTGGGCAAGAGTTCTCGACTGCACCGCCAAAAAAGGCCAACCTGGGAGAGAAGGGCGTCGAGCAGACGAATCCGCTCAGCGCTCCAAGTGTCTGCCAGGTTGACGCTCCTGGACCACACTAGTGGCCATCACCTGACCAACGGCGCGAGCGGCCACTTCCGTTGCCCTCTTGAAGAGCAAGGCCAGTGGCGGACCGCAAATCTTCGAATGCCGTTGGATCAGTCCCGCCCTCGAGCATATCTCTGAGCATCTGCGCTTGCACAGTGCTCATCGCATGCAAAGCGGAGGCCGCCCGTCCCGCCGCTCTATAGGAACGCGCCGCCATGGCAGACGAGAACCTACAGGCTTTGGATGGGTGCCTAGGAGGACCACGGAGGAGGCGCCCTGTGAACACGGCTGTACCGCAACAGAGCGCTCCAGCGGGGGCATCCCAGTGCACCCACGGGCGGCCCCCCCATCGAGGGGGGAAAGGCGGGGGAGAGATCGCGCTCTCGAGTGGACAGAGGAGTCCCCCAAGAGCGCGATAACTCCGCATGCAGCTCGGGGAAAAAAGGCAATGGAGTTGGCCGTGGCCTCGCGGCGGCAGCTTTGTCCAAAAACCAATTATCCCTCCGTGAGAGATCGGGGGAGAATGGAGGATGCCACTCTAACCCAATACTCCCAGCGGCTCGAGACAGCATGCCGTCAGCTCGGGATCCGACACGGGCAGCGCTGGCTCTCCCGAAGGGGGCAGTGCAGCCGCATCCTCATCTCCCGAGGACTGTAGCCCGCCTAGTGATGCTGCGATCGACATCACATCATCATCTGGAGCGCTGCTCGAAGCAGCCGGTACCACTGAAGAGGCAGCCGACTGAATCGAACTAACGCTCGCTGGCTCACGCACTGAGGCGGGAGGTGTGGCCCGAGAAATCGTCGGGGCTTTATGCCACACCGTCACCGTTAATTCGTCGGGTCCCCGGTCGACGGGCCCCCTTTCGTGAAGGAAGCCGATCGAGTAAGGGGGACCGGGGCTCTCACTCTAGTGAGATTTTCTTTTTTTTTTTTTTTTTAACCTCAGTGTGGAGATGGTCATGTCCCCATAGCAGGAACATGAGTCATCCACGAACGCTGCTGCTGCATGCTGAATGCCCAGGCATACAGAGCAGCGATCGCGACCATCAGATGACGACAGAAATCGACCGCATCCAGAAGAACACGGGCGAGCCGTCTTTAAAAAGACGTGCCGCGTGTAGCTCTTTTACAGAGAGGAGGAAATTCACTCTTTCAGCGCTGAGGCGACCAGGGAGAAGCGCAAAGTCTGGCAGACCACTGCACAGATCGCAGGCAATGCAGAAACTCGCTGGGTACCGCCGTCACACCAACACTGAAGAGGACGCTCGTCTCGAAGAGTCTTGAATCAGCTTTTAGGAGTGAAGAGGTTCTCTTGGCTCCGAAGCGAAAACATACTGCGGTTGCGTTCACTTCCTCCTTTTATACTCACGGAGTAGGGCGGAGTACGCTATGCAAATTTCCGCAGCCCCAAGGCATTGCATGCCATTGGCTCGTGTTTAAATACTCGAAGAGGATTGGCTTTCTATGCGAAATCCCCCAATCTCCGTCACTTCTGACGTAACTCGAAGTGACTACGAAAGGGAACTCAAACTAAAGCTGAAAGGAAAAAAAAGGAAAGATTACAAAAAGGCAAAAAAATCGACAGTAAAATTACTAAAACTATAATCAAAATTAAATATTAAAATATTAATATGATCTATAATTGTCACGAATACAGCCTCTGTGGTGCCCTCCACTCACCACCAGAGGTCAGCATCTCCGGAGTACTAATTCCCTTGGACTGCAAATCCCATAATCCCCGTACCTGTGGCTGATTTGTCTCACAGGTGTTTCCCATTCACTCTCTCTATTTAAACTGTTCTCTCAGCCTCATCATTGCGAAGTCTTGTCTTGCCATGCATACATTTCTGAGCGTTTATTCCGTGTGTGATTTCCCGTGTATGACCTGGACTGTTTATTGGACCTTGAATCTTTGCTGCCTGCCTGTTCTGATTGCATCTGCCTTGTTGTTCGATTACCCTGTGTGTTTGCCGCCAGCCCTGATCCTCAGCCTGAACTCTGACTTTGATTCTGCCTTATCTACACTGTTATTGAAGCCTGTGATTGACCCTTGCCTGTTTGACAAGAATTCTGTTCTAATAAAGCTGCATATGGATTCTCAAGACAATGCCTCCCCGTTACAGAAGACTTCGCCAGATGTCGATCCAGCAGCATTCTACCATTTTACCACGGAGGTTACTGCGCAAGCATCGGTCCTGGCCACCCACCAGCAACAGCTCAGTCGATTGACTTCGATTACTGAAGAGCTGGTAAAAGCTTTACAAGCACTTCAGCCTTCCGCACCCGGCATACCGGCGCCACCCCCGACTCTACCACCGGTACCGGCACAGGCACAGGCTATTCCTAACACTGCCAGTCCTCGGCTCGCCTTCCCGGAGAAATTTGATGGATCTCCAGATAAATGTAAGGGATTCTTACTTCAATGTTCTATGTTTGTCAATCAACAACCCATGCTATATCCTTCAGATGAGAACCGCATCGCATTTGTGTGTTCACTTCTCACGGGGAGAGCGTTGGAGTGGGCTACCGCCGTATGGAATGAGGATAGACCAACCTTTCCTTCGTTCAGGGATTTTATTCAACGCTTCAAAGAGGTGTTTGAGCACTCCGTTGGAGGAAAGGAGGCGGGTGAGCAATTATTATCTCTCCGGCAAGGAAGGGGTTCGGCAGCGGATTATGCGTTATCTTTTCGTACTCTCGCAGCTCAGACGGGATGGCCCGACGATCCTCTCAAGCTCCACTACCGTAAAGGCTTATCTATGGAGTTGCAGTCGGAACTTGCCTGTCGTGACGAGGGACTGTCACTGGAGAAGTACATCGATTTGTCCATCAAGATCGACAATCTCCTTCGATCTCGTCGCACTAACCGTCTGCACACTTCCCCCATGACATTTGCAACAGTCAACTCAGATGTAGAATCCATGCAAATTGGTGTTACACGTATCAGTGAGGAAGAGAGAGAGAGACGCATTCGACAGAGCCTATGTTTGTACTGTGGATTACCGGGACATTTAAGAGCAACTTGTCCTACCAGACCATCCCGCAATTCCACTGTGGTGAGTTCAATTCCCAAACCCACTACTAGTTTTGAGATTGCTGTTAATCTGGAGATAAATGGGAGGGTCATTGAGACGTTGGCATTAATTGACTCAGGGGCTGCAGGAAACTTCATCGACATGTCTTTTGCGAGAAATAATAATATTCCCCTTGTTCCTTACGATTCTCATTTGGCAGTCGCAGCGCTAGATGGCCGACCTCTGGGCTCCGGTCGCATCAAATTCACCACTGAAGATCTGCAGTTGAGCACTGGAGTTCTCCACACTGAATCCATCCGTCTGTTTGTTTTTCAATCACCACAAAATCCCATCATCCTCGGACTTCCATGGTTAGAGCTTCACAACCCTTCTATTTCCTGTACTAAGAAACAAATCACTCAATGGTCAGATTTCTGTCTTCATAATTGTCTTCACAACTTGCCTGTCAAAAAGGGGACCGAGACTTCCTTAACCGAGGTACTTCCCAGTGTCTATCAGGATCTAGCCGAGGCATTCAGCAAAATGAAAGCATCACACTTACCACCACACCGAGCCAGTGACTGTGCCATAGATCTCCTCCCAGGATCACAACCTCCCAAGGGCAGAGTCTTTCCGCTGTCACAACCTGAAGCAGAGGCTATGAGATCCTACATTCAGGAGGAACTCAGCAAAGGTTTCATTCGTCCTTCCACGTCACCCGCATCAGCTGGCTTCTTCTTCGTCAAAAAGAAAGATGGAGGTCTTCGTCCCTGTATTGACTACCGATCTCTCAATGCCATCACCACCAAGTTTCGTTACCCTCTACCTCTCGTTCCGGCAGCTCTTGAACAACTCAGTCAAGCAAGATATTTCACCAAGCTGGATCTTCGTTGTGCCTATAATCTCATCCATATTCGTGAGGGGGACGAATGGAAGACTGCTTTCTCCACCACGACAGGGCACTACGAATATCTCGTTATGCCATTCGGATTGTCCAATAGCCCTTCCGTGTTTCAAGCTTTCATTAACGACGTGTTCAGAGACATGTTGAACCAATGGGTAATTGTTTACATCGATGACATCCTCATTTACTCTGAGACTTATGAGGAGCACGTTAAACACGTCAGAGCGGTTCTCAAACGTCTCATTCAACATCAATTGTACGCCAAGGCAGAGAAGTGCGAATTCCACCAAGAGACCATCTCCTTCCTCGGATATGTGATTAGCTCGGGAGGGGTCGCCATGGACGACAAGAAGGTACAGGCAGTAGCTCAGTGGTCCCAACCTACTACTCTCAAGGAACTGCAACGCTTCTTGGGTTTTGCCAATTTCTATCGGCGGTTCATCCGTAACTTCAGCAGTATCGCTGCCCCCATGACATCCATGATCAAGAAGGGAACCCAACGACTAACCTGGTCCTCAGCAGCTTTAGCAGCATTCAGTGAACTAAAAGAGAGATTCACAACCGCTCCAATTCTACACCACCCAGATCCTGAACGTGAATTCATAGTTGAAGTAGACGCTTCTAGCACGGGCATTGGGGCAGTGCTTTCACAACGCCAGGGGGAACCTCCCAAGCTGTTTCCCTGTGCGTTCTTCTCCCGTAAATTAAATCCTACCGAGCAGAATTATGATGTTGGCAATCGCGAACTTCTCGCAATGAAGGCGGCATTCGAGGAGTGGCGCCACTGGCTGGAGGGGGCTAAACATCCGTTCACTGTACTCACTGATCATCGTAACCTCGAATATCTGAAATCAGCCAAACGACTCAACCATCGACAAGCCAGATGGTCACTCTTTTTCACCAGATTTGATTTCAGAGTTACGTATCGTCCAGGCTCGCAAAATACCAAGGCAGATGCACTCTCTCGACTTTATGAGTCAGATCTCCTATCGCCAGATCAAGAACCCATCATTCCATCCACCATCATTCTCGCACCTGTGCAGTGGGATATATTAACTGAGATCGCGGAAGCCCAAGTCACCGAACCTCCACCGGCTGAAACCCCACCTAATCTTATGTACGTTCCACTGGCCCTAAGACAGAGAGTAATACAAATGGTACACACTAACCCAAGTTCCGGTCATCCAGGTATAACAGCTACTTTACAACTCCTCAACAACAAGTTCTGGTGGTCTTCTATACGAGCGGACACCATCACGTTCATTCAAAATTGCACCATCTGCAATACCTCTAAATCTCCACATCAATTACCTGCTGGGCTTCTTCATCCATTACCCATCCCACAAAGACCATGGTCACACATCGCCATCGACTTCGTGACGGATCTTCCTCTCTCTCAGGGTCACACTACCATTCTCACGGTAATTGATCGTTTCTCAAAAGCCTGCAGACTGATACCTCTTCCCAAGCTTCCCACTGCCCTGGAAACCGCTGAGGTCCTCTGCAACAATGTGTTTCGATTCTACGGTCTACCGGAGGATATAGTCTCTGATCGGGGTCCACAGTTCACCTCCCGAGTCTGGTCCGCTTTCTGTCAGCTACTGAACATTAATGTCAGTCTAACCTCTGGATATCATCCTGAAGCCAATGGTCAAGTAGAGAGATTAAACCAGGAACTCACCCGCTTCCTTCGCTCATATTGCCAGAAGAATCAGTTCGACTGGAGTCGCTATCTGTTATGGGCTGAGTACGCTCAAAATTCACTTTGTAAGCCGTCTACAGGGCTCACCCCCTTTCAGTGCATCCTAGGTTTCCAACCCCCATTGTTTCCATGGTCTGGAGAACCCTCGGACTTACCCGCAATCAATTCATGGTTACAACGCAGTGAGGAGACGTGGAATAGTGCTCATGTCCATCTACAAAGGGCAGTGCATCGCACCAGAGGACAGGCCAATCGACATCGGCGTACCAATCCCAACTACCAACCAGGGCAATGGGTTTGGTTGTCCACCCGAAACATACGGCTCCGGTTACCTTGCAAGAAGCTCAGTCCCAGGTACGTGGGTCCTTTCAGAATCATCAGACAAATCACTCCAGTTTCTTTTAGATTAGCCTTACCTGACCATTACCGTATCTCACCCACCTTTCATGTCTCCCTGCTCAAGCCCGCTGGTGGTCCGAGTGGAGAGGAGGGCCTAGATGAGGCTGGTGACCAGAGAGCTCCTCCCATCATCATCGACGGTCAGGAGGCTTACCGGGTCCATGAAATCCTGGACTCTCGTCGTCGGGGCAGACTCCTTCAGTACCTCGTGGACTGGGAAGGATACGGTCCAGAGGAGAGATCCTGGATCAACGCTAATGACGTTCTAGACCCTTCACTCACTAGTGATTTCCACAGAGATCACCCGGACAAACCTGCCCCAAGATCTCGAGGAAGACCCCGGCGTCGTTTGCCTCCTCGCGTCAGGAGCCGCTCACAGGGGAGGGGCTCTGTCACAAATACAGCCTCTGTGGTGCCCTCCACTCACCACCAGAGGTCAGCATCTCCGGAGTACTAATTCCCTTGGACTGCAAATCCCATAATCCCCGTACCTGTGGCTGATTTGTCTCACAGGTGTTTCCCATTCACTCTCTCTATTTAAACTGTTCTCTCAGCCTCATCATTGCGAAGTCTTGTCTTGCCATGCATACATTTCTGAGCGTTTATTCCGTGTGTGATTTCCCGTGTATGACCTGGACTGTTTATTGGACCTTGAATCTTTGCTGCCTGCCTGTTCTGATTGCATCTGCCTTGTTGTTCGATTACCCTGTGTGTTTGCCGCCAGCCCTGATCCTCAGCCTGAACTCTGACTTTGATTCTGCCTTATCTACACTGTTATTGAAGCCTGTGATTGACCCTTGCCTGTTTGACAAGAATTCTGTTCTAATAAAGCTGCATATGGATTCTCAAGACAATGCCTCCCCGTTACAATAATAATATATCGATACTAAAATAACACTGTTTTCAACTTGGAAAACTTTATTGTATTATTAATTAAACTGACTTTGAAAAAAGGTTGTTAAATCTTATATAACTTTTAAAAAAGTTGGAAATTGCTTATTGATCGTGTCATTTTTTTTTACAGTGTTTAGATAGTGTTTTTATTTTATTTTTAAATGATGTACCTCAATCCTACAATATTTTCATTTATTTGTAGATACTTTTTTATTTTCAATTTGGCACATTTCTAATTTTCTGATTTTGCGTCTATAATAATATATTTATTTAAGTGACTGTGACTAACGAGGTCTCTATGCAGGTGTTTGGAAACAATGATCAGCATGGAACAGATACCGGTTTCTCTTCACAGCATCAGAAATATGAGATGGTGGTAAGCTTATGTTAAATGGAAAGTCACAATGACAATTCTAATCAATTCAGTTATAAACACTTCAAATACAAAATGCTCAAATGTCTTAACATGAAGAATGCTGTGCAAGCAATGAGGGCAACTGGTTTCACCTGTGTTTTTCTTCAGGTGAGCATAGGTGACGTGTTTGTGAACCAGGCCATCCACACGATCGAGTACTGCCTGGGCTGCATCTCCAACACGGCCTCGTACCTTCGGCTCTGGGCGCTCAGTCTGGCTCACGCAGGTTTGTCCCAGCGCAATGCAGGCACACTATTAGAAATAACTCTATCATCAGTTCGAGAATAATGCCGTTCTTTGTGTTTCCATTAGTTCTCAGTGACTGATTGTATCACTAGTGAAATGATTTATGAAGGTGTGCAGTTTATGAGGACACCTACTGTACAAAGCTCACCAACACCAGAGCATGTTTTAAACTTTTACCTTCCCGATATGGTATTAAATAGCATTATAACTCTACATCTCAATTTAAAAGAATTCCAAGAGGATTTAATTCTGAAAATATACCGAAGACTGGAGTAATGGCTGCTGAAAATTCACCTTTGCCATGACAGGAATATTAAATTATATTTTAAAATAGATTAAATGGTTATTAACAGTAAGTGATATTATGTCAGAATTGTACTATTTTTACTGTATTTGTTTTAATCAAATAAATTTGCGTTGGTGAGCGTAAGAGTCTTTTTTTCAAAGACATTCAAATATTTTCTTTAGTTTTTGCTGACAAAAAATTGAAAATGGTCATTTACATTTACTCTCGACATTGGAAAAAGCAATACAACACGGATTGAGAATCGGCAAAGTTAACCCTAAAACCGTATTCTGGACAAATGTGGGCAAAATAGTATTGATTTATTTAAAAAAAATGCTTCTCTTGATCTGAGCGGTACAAGACTTGGCTACTTTTCCTAAGTTTGCCTCCTGAACACACACAATTTTTGTTTGACTCAATTCTACAATGTTAAGTGGGTGAAAAAAAAAACTCCTTAATCTTGTATTTGGGTCAAAAATGGGCATAGCAATGAATGGGAAAACATGTAATTTAGAGCATTCTAAAATAAGCTAAAATAAGACACCAGGTGACAACAAAGTCACTTCATCTTTAGGTTTTAGCTCAAAGAACTTATTGGAATGATATTTTAATGTAGTTAAAAAAATTTTAAAATAAAAATAAGCATAATTTACATGGAAAATATGGTACTTTTTGAAGTAAATAAAAAAAAATACTCCTAAAATAAAAAAAACACCATAAATGGATAGACAAAACGTTATTGAAGACAGTGATATAACATTTATAATAAATAAAAATTAGGATCACATCCTGAGTCCTCTGTGCCCACATTTGTCCACAATTACAGGATAAAGTGAACACGGTTTGAGGGCTACAGGAGTTTTTAAAAAATAATCCTATAATTTACTCACCTTCAAGTCATCCCGGTGTATATAACTTTCAGCCAAACACAATCAGTTATATTAATATTAACAATAAAATATCCCAGCTTTATAATGGGAGTGAATGGTACCTGAGATTTTAAAGCCCAAAAAAGTGCATCATCCATCATAAAAGTAATCCATACAACTGCAAGGGGTTAATAAATGTCTTCTGGGATTTTGTAAGAACATATTTAACCCCTTAGCTGTCACCCCCCTTTTTGAGAATGGGGGTTAAAATGCACTATTCAAACTTAAATGGTTGTAATTTAAGAATGCTTTGGAATATATACCCAAGTTTGGTCTTGTTTTAAAGAAAACACTCAGCAGAATATTGAAAATACATTTCAAAAAATGAAAGTATGAAAAAGTTATGGAAGTTTAAATTTACAGTAAATTAAATATACTTTACTATATATGTTTTATTTTATATAAAATATATATTTTATAAAATATTTTTTACTCTAAAATTTCTATAAAATCAAAGCCATACATCTTATCAAGATATGTTCCAAATTTGAAGTTGATATCACAAAAAATGAAGTTCCCATGAGATTTTGTTTAGGCGTAGTACCAAAAATAGCCACCGGGTGCAATTGAATTCCATTGAATTTAGTTGTATACATTCTGCCTTAACAAATTAATACATTTCTGTCCAAATATCAATTCTGTCACAAAATTTGGAACCTTGAGACTCTGACCATTCTGACAATATCAGTTTTGTCAAGATTAGAAAAGGTTTTGATCATAAATTATGAAATATAATGATGCCCAAAAGGGGAGGAGCCTGATAAAATAAGTACCGTTTCTATGGTAACGCAACTTTCAATTATAAAACAGTTTTCACACGAAGAATTCTGAGTTTATAAACGTTCAAATGATACCTAATTTATGATAACTACTAAAATATGTGATATTATAAAAAAAGGCGATAAAAAATAATATTATATTTTAGAGGATAATAAATATAAATATTATCATTTTTAGAGGATAATATTGTACTATAATTTTTTTATTTTTTATTGAAAAATACTAGATTATATGTTTATTATGAACTTTTAGCATAAAAACAGAAGTTTCAATGATTAAAAGTGGGTTCATCAACTTTTTGTGACAAAGGTCAAAACTCCTGTTATGATGCAGATTTTTTAAGGTGCACTCTTGTCATAAATTCATCAATTACTCTTCCTACATAATTTTTAACACAAAACAGGGGTAGAATATCTATTTAGAAGTCTTAGACCTTTCCAACAATATATAATTTGTCATAATTAGATTAGGATTTAATAGAAATATAGTGAAGTAAAGTTAGGCGTCCCGGTACCGGGACGGTGACAGTTAAGGGGTTAAAACTTTCGAAACTATAATCACTAGCTTCCAGCTGTATTACTTTTATGATGGATGTGCTTTTTTGAGCTTCAAACTGTTGGTTGCAATTCACTGCCATTATAAAGCTTCGGCTGAGAGAAAGTCATATTAGTACACTTAGGATGGCTTGAGGGTGAGTAAATTATGGGATCATTCTGATTTTTGAGTGAATTATTCCTGTAAATGAGGTTCTCAGTGTGTGTGTGTGTGTGGTCTGCAGAGCTGTCGGAGGTGCTTTGGCGGATGGTCCTCCAGGTGGGGCTGAAGCTCTCCTCTGGTGTAGGTCCACTCGTGCTGGTTCTGCAGTTTGCTGCTTTTGCTGTTCTCACCGTGACTATTCTTCTGATCATGGAGGGCCTGTCTGCTTTCCTGCATGCTTTACGACTGCATTGGTAAGAACAACACATTATTCATAAGCAACAAGACTTCACTGATTCTTTTAACAAAGAAAACCTAGTCTCACCCTCTGTTGCATGTTAATCATCAAGCTATTTGACTTGTTCATGACCCTTGACTTGGGGCATGTTTGTCTGTCTATTTTTAATCTATTATAGTTTACATAAAGTATATCTGGCCCAAAGTTCTAATGTCTCTGTACTTGAAGTGTGTCTAAATTTCGCTTTAATAGTGTGAGTTTCGGTGTACTGTTACTAACAATAATCGAATATCTGTTTATAAAGCATGTTTAAAATGGCACAGTGATATGAATGTAGTTAAAGTGAATTTTTTATGTGTTTGTTTTCAGGGTTGAATTTCAGAACAAGTTTTACGAGGGATCCGGCTACAAGTTCACACCCTTGTCCTTTGACAGCATGTAAAAACACAGCATTAATAGTCACTATTTGTACTATTCTTTTAGTTTTTAGTGCCATTACAGTTTTGCGAATGTAAAAAATGCTTACTTTCAACCAGGGGACTTCAACAGGGGTCTCCCAATTATTAAGTTTTGTGAACAAAATGAAAATATGCTATAGACCATTTCACAAGATGTAAACAACGCTGGTCCAGAAGCACTTCCTGTTTCAGTTTGTAACTGTTTTCTTTATTTCACATGTAAAGAAAATATCTTAAAGATGTTTGTTTAACTTTTTGATTCAGTTTTAAATGTTCTGTTGGTTGTATTTTATCCCAGCTTTTATGTAGTGTTAAAAAACTGAAACAGGAAGTGCTTCTGGACCAGTGTTGTTTACATCTTGTGAAATGGTCTATAGACATACTGTATTAAGCTCAACTTAACTTTGACTAAACATTGATGTAGAAGTAAGCGTTGATCTTTCATCGCACTATGACGTAATATTGCGACAATATAAAGTGTGTAAAGTCGTCGTTCTGGCAGCTTGGTTTCAGTAAAAGCTGTTTTTGGATTAATGAGGAAGTTCTGAAATTTGTCACTTTTAAAGTATTTAAGCATAATTTAAAGATGGAAATGGTTTAAAGATATTTATGTTTTAAACTTTACCAAATAATTACATTAAAGTAGGCCTACGTGTTGCTTATTATTACAGGGTAGTTGTGTAACACTAATAAAAATGTTATATTTGTCAATTTTTCATTATACAGGAACACCTGTTCAATTGCTCATCAATGCAATTCTCTAATCAACCAATCACATGGCAGTTGCTTCAATGCATTTAGGGGTGTGGTCCTGGTCAAGACTAGCCTGACTTCGTCATACTCATAATCTATTGAGAATATGAGTCTGAAACCGCTCCGTTAGGCTTTGATTATGAAGCGTATCTTAACCGAACCAGGAGAAAAAAAACCCTCTGCACTCATAGTCGGTAAACCTACAAGCAATCAGAGCAACGCAGTCAACTCCTTTGCATAGCGCAGTTTTCAACTACAGAATTTACTTATTTTAGAAGTTAAATAACGAGTGTTGCTTCTTTACTTACTTCTCCATGAGTGCCACCAAAGGAGAAACCACAACGACCACAGGCTTTTCATTACGTCCCATCTTCTTAACCACCGCCAGAGCCAGCTGATAAGTTTCCCATTTCCCCGAATCATGTTGGAAGGAAGCCAAAAATATCTTTCCGATCGACAAATGCCTTGATTGCAGTTCTGTGTTTGCCTATTAAAATGAATGCGCTGTCGATTTATTTTACAAAAGACGCGACAGCGGAATCTATACATCTCAATTCTCCAGCTGCAGTCATCTTTGACAAGCGCTCTTTGATAACGTGATGATTACGTCCTTGCAGATCATCTGTCCATCATCGTTTAAAGCCCGCCCTGGCAATTTGATTGGCCCGTTTATTTTTTGACTGATCATAATTACTCCTCAATAGAGAGCCTAAGTCCCTCCCCTTCCGGTCGACCACCATGGGACCTTATTTCGGAAAAATATTGAATGGTAGTCAATGGCGAGAGACGACAAATATTTTGATCTCGTTTGAATTGTGCCCTGAATTACACATATGATGTTTGTCAATTTAAAAGATACATTTTTAAGTAAAGAAAGTCGCAGTTTGATGTAAAACCGTTGAGGTATAAGACTGTGAAAATACGTAATTACAAAGACTACAAACCCCTAAAGGCGCACATTTTCTCTCAATGAATGAAGCTAACTTCACTAATGTCTGTCATTTTTTCTACAGTCTTACGTTATAATCGTAACGTTACACCGTCATGCCTGAGTGTTTTGTACCAGACTGCACACACACGAGCAGCGGATCTCGTTTCGCTTCCCGGGAGATGTAGTTCACAGAGCGATTTTCACATAAAACTAAATGTTACTCTTCTGTTTTATGACAAACTGCAACGTTTTTGACTTTCAGAATTATCTTTTAAATAGACAAACATCATATAGTCTGGTAGGAAGGGGGGGGGGTTCACCTGCACCCGAAAGATATATATTTTTTAACCTAGTTTTTTGTAATCCTTAAGGTGTCTAGAAAAGGAATTTTGATGTTCCCCGCGCAAATTTTTGTCCCATATGTGATTTTTTGTATCATCTTTTGTGTCCGTGCTTGATTTTTGGCTGCGGAAAATGAAAACTTTAAACCTACATAGAATCTGAATAATACATCCTACAGACAGACAATCTACCCCATTTTCTCTTCGTCTTTGCATGAGGAATTGATAGATATGAGGATTGTCTTGATTAGATGATGTATAGTGCATAAAAACTCAAATAAACACCAAAAAATGGTGACATTGGATCACTGGAACTCCTCCCCTATGGACCCTTCTGATATATGTTTTCTAACTTTTGAATTTTTACAGTCTTTAGGATGTCTAAGAAGCAAATGTTGATGATCCCCACCTGAAATATTGTCACATGTATGTATTTTCTGGCTATATTGGTTGCCACCCTGGATATCCAAAAAAGCACATTTATAGGCAGTCTGTTTTTCTCCTTTAGTTTTCGATTTGATAAATCTCCTCCATTTTTCATAACTGGCTATGTTAATTATTGTTGAGCACATGTTGAGCTTGTTCCCAACGTCAATTGTTGCACATTAAAAATATAACATAGATATTTTAATTAAATAATACATTTTAAGATACAACGTGTTCAAAAATATGCATTAATTAAAAATCACATCATGTAATTAGGATTCACTGGTAATGTGAGGTTTATTTAACATACATTTTTAAACTAACTACACAAATACATAGACTACACCATGCACCGACACACAATTAGAAAGGTCTTTCTTGGTGAAGAGCATTTAGCGTTATGGAAGCCCACATTGACTGGCAGATAATGGTCTCTCCAGGTTTCTGTTAAGTTGAAAAAAAAAATGTTATGCTTAATAATTAATTAATTATACTTTCATTATTATTATTATTACTACTGGTGAGGGAATGTGTTTCATCTCGAGTGGGACAATCTGAACAAAATAACAACAAACATTCATGGCTCAAGTGTGGTGAACTGGACCGGTGGGATCATGATACAGGAGGTGAAACCTGAATTTGATGCCCCCAACTCTCTGGAAATTCCACGAATGCTCCCACTCTACGAGTGGAAAAAGAAGCGCTCCCTTATGGTAGATATACCTGAGACCCTAAATTCATCATCAAGTCATGATTAGATGATGTATAGTGCATAAACACTCAAATGAACACCAAAAAATGTACAAATAAATTGTGACATTGGATCACTGGAACTCCTGTCCTCAGGACCCTATTAATATATGTTTTCTAACTTTTGTACTTTTACAGTCTTTATGATGTCTAAGAAGCAAATGTTGATGATCCCCACCTGAAATAACTATCTATCCATCATAAAAGTGCATCTGTCCATCATAAAAGTGCATCTGTCCATCATAAAAGTGCATCTGTCCATCACAAAAGTGCATCTGTCCATCATAAAAGTGCATCTAACCATCACAAAAGTGCATCTGTCCATCAGAAAAGTGCATCTGTCCATCATAAAAGTGCATCTGTCCATCACATAAGTGCATCTGTCCATCACAAAAGTGCATCTGTCCATCACAAAAGTGCATCTGTCCATCACAAAAGTGCATCTGTCCATCACAAAAGTCCATCTGTCCATCATAAAAGTCCATCTGTCCATCACAAAAGTGCATCTGTCCATCACAAAAGTGCATCTGTCCATCATAAAAGTGCACCTGTCCATCATAAAAGTGCATCTATCCATCATAAAAGTGCATCTGTCCATCATAAATGTTCATCTGTCCATCAAGTGCATCTGTCCATCATAAAAGTGCATCTATCCATCACATAAGTGCATCTGTCCATCATAAAAGTGCATCTGTCCATCATAAAAGTGCATCTGTCCATCATAAAAGTCCATCTGTCCATCATAAAAGTGCATCTATCCATCATAAAAGTGCATCTGTCCATCATAAAAGTGCATCTGTCCATCATAAAAGTGCACCTGTCCATCATAAAAGTGCATCTGTCCATCATAAAAGTGCATCTATCAATAATAAAAGTGCATCTGTCCATCATAAAAGTGCATCTGTCCATCATAAATGTTCAATTATTTAAAATGCAAAAAAAAAAAAAAATAATAATAATAAATAAATAAATTATTATTTTCAAGGTGAAAAGGATTCTTTTGCCTGGATCCACGCCGAAGAAAACGTCTAAATGTCACGTTTTTAATGAAGCAGCCTAATGAGTAAAATGTCTATTTTCTTGGGCGTCCCCCAGCTCCTCGTTTAAGCAAAAGGTACGCTAAAACAACGTATTACATCGACGTTAAACCACGTTAACCGTGTTAACCATAACCTTTTAAATACTCAACCTAGTTCCGTTGCGGGAAGAAACTCCTGTAACTTCAGTGCCCAACCCGTATCACGACAAGACGTGAAATAATCATGTTGGTCCACTATGGAAAATGTGTAGATGTCACGGTTTAGTTTAACCCCCTCAAACGTGAAACTTACACGTTTGCGTTAACACGCTCCAGTGGAGAGCAGTGGCGTATCCAGGACATTTTTTGGGGGGTGGCCAAGATGGGACACAAAGCTAGAGTGGGGTGGCCATGGCATAGCGAAGTTAAATGCGTATATGTACGCAGCCGACCATGGATCAAATCCCGGTCCTTTGCTGCAAGTCACATCCTCTCTCTCTCCCATGATTTCCTTTCTCATAACTGTCAAATAAAAGTGTCTATCCTGTTAAAAACAGTCGTAACCACCAATCACAGACAGTTCTCAAGTATCTCTGGTTATTTTAACATGTCTATTTTTAATCAGTAATTATGGTCAGGATAGGGTAAATATTTTCTAAGAACTATTTTCTTGTAGTGGATTTAAGTCCTTGTCACTTCACAAGTTAGATTAGATTAGCAAAATTAAACTGCTTTTAACTAATCCTATACAATAACATGTATCAGTCGTCAGCTCATCATCTGTGTCACCTGTATTGTTACCTGAGTTTGCTTTACTAATTGAGGCACCATCTTGTGGTTACATGAAAACACAGAAATCCAACAGGACAAACCAACATGCTTAAAGATAGGACTTTATTCAAAAGTGTATCTGT